AGTGATCCGTCTGCCTGGCCGTGTGCTCGCCCCCCCCTCCCTCCCCCCCCCCCCCCCCGAACACTCAGCTGCTTCCGCGGAGGTGCCTGTCTGATCGGGCTCTGGGCTTTTTTGCTCCAGTACTTGAGGAGAAGGGCCTACTGTGCCCTTGCCGGGGGGCGTGCACTGGGTGTCCGGCGGGTCCTGGTGGCTGGCGGTCCTTCCAGCTTCCACCTCCTTGCAGGTTTCTCTCCATTACTGACCAGCGTGGTCCAACTCCGGCAGTGCCTGTGTGGTCTCCTTTCGGTTGTTTGCCTTCGTGGGCTCTCACACTCTGCTTATGCCTGGAGGGTGACGTCTTCTTAGTGACTTGACCCCTTCTCATTATGTAATGTCCCTCTTTGCCCGTGGCAATTTTCATTGCTCTCAAGTCCACTTTACTGGGTACTTACAGAGCCACCCACGCTTTTTTATTAACATCAGAATGATTTACCCTTTTTAGCCGTTTACCTTTAACCTACATACAGCGTTATATCAAAGTGATTTCCTCATACGCTGCGTACTAGTTGGGTCATTAAAGAAAACCTATTCTGCCAATCTTGGTCTAATCTGTTTTGACCATCTATCTCTAACGTAATTATTACATGCAATGTATACTGTCTGGATTCCGATCTGCTATTTTACTGTTTTCTGTTTGCTCCCTTTGCTTTTTGTTCCTGTTTTCCATTTCCTACCTTTCTGCGGGTCACTTCAGTGTTTTATAATAACCCGTTTTTGCTTTATCTATAGTATTTTTCACTATACCTCTTTGTATAGTTTTAGTAGTGTTTGCTCTAGGGATCGCAATGCACATACTTAACTTATCACAGTCCATGAGGATCGATATTTTGCATTTTTTCAAGAGGAACGTACAGACCTTATGACCATGGAAGTGCCTTTGCCCTCCCCACCCTTTATAATATAGTTGTCTTAAATGTAACCTCTACATACTTTGAGAATCACATCAGACAATATTATGTATACTGTTTGCTTTCAGCTGTCAAACAATTTTAAAAATAGAGAATGCTCATTATTTCCCTAGTTACTCTGTCATTCTCTCGTCCCTCCTGGTGTTCCAAATTTCCTTATTATTCTCTTTCTGTTTGAAGAACTTCCTTTAGCGAGTTTTTTTTTTTTAACTTTTTAATGTATATTTATTTTGAGAGAGAGAAAGAGACAGAGGGCAAACAGAGGAAAGGCAGAGAGAGAGGGAGACCCAGAATCTGAAGCAGGCTCCAGGCTCTGAGCTGTCAGCACAGAGCCCGATGCGGGGCTCAAACCCACGAACGGTGAGATCATGACTTGAGCCGAAGTCGGACGCTTAACCAACTGAACCACCCAGGCGCCCCTAGAAATTATTTTAAGGCAGGTTTTCTGGTGAAAAATTCTCTTAGTTTTCCTTGACCTAAGAATATTTCGCCTTCATTCTGAAGGGTATTTCCGCTGGATATAGAGTGTGGTTTGACAATTGTTTTCTTTCAACACTTGAAAATGTGCTACTTCCTTCTGGCCTCCATGTTTCTGATGCGAAGTATACTGTCATTCAAACTGTTGTTCCGTTATCAGTCATGCATGGTTTCTATTTTCCATATATATTTTTGTCTTGTGAAAATGTGTAAAAGGAAGCCTCATTTAGAATGGAGTCGGGTGGCCCCAGGGGAGCTCTCAGCCCTACCACTCCTGGTCAATTGCAGACCCAACAGGAACTGAAGCACCTTGCTGGGGGGGGGGGGGGGGGGGGTTCCACTGTAGCTACTACTTGCCCAGCCCATCAGGAGGAAGGAAGGTTTCCTCCTCTCCCAGCAACAGTTCCAGCCAATGAGAGACTCCACAGCCCAACCAATGAGAGACAATTACAGCCCAGCCAATGAGAGATTGCCAGGGGTCAGCCAATGAAAAGCACTACACTTCCAGCTCCCATTTTCCTCCAATGGACTTTCTGTTTACAACAGCCCTCCTACCCCCTTTCCTCTGTAAGAGAGCGTCGTCCTCTGCTTTGTTCTCTCACTGTGCCTTTTGCCGCGTTAATTCTATTATGTGCCCCGCGGAACCTCATAGGCAGATGAAAAGATCCGTCTGTGCATCTCGCGCCTCCCTGCAGCCCTCAGACAGGGTGGGCATCTCCCCAGGACCCCACCCCAGCCCTCGCGTGAAGCATCCAGTGGGGAGGGGTGCAGCTTCCTTCACGGTACTCATCTGGGGCAGGGCAGGTGTACCCAAAGGGGCTCCATCCTGCAGGCCCTTCCAGATCCTCTGGCTAAAGAAACCAGGTTTTTCTTGAGCGAGCTTTCTCTTTCCCCTCTCTCTCTTTCCCTCCCTTTGAGTTTGGTCTGCAGTTGCAGATTGCTGTAGCACCCAGGCCAGGGCAGGTCAGCTGGAGGACACTCACTGCTGAGTTGCGCTTTGAGTCTTGAGGCTCTCAACCAATCACCTTTTTCCTACCTTTCAGAGTCTTCTGATTGTTGTTTTACACATTTTGCCCAACGTTTTTGGTTGTCATTAGCAGAAGGAATAGGGTGGAATGGGCTTACTCCATCTTTTCTAGAATCATCAGTGATCCTTAACAACTTTTTTTTAATGTTTATTTATTTTTGAGAGAGAGAGAAAGAGAGACAAAGCATGATCAGGGAGGGGCAGAGAGAGAGGGAGACAGATTCCGAAGCAGGCTCCAGGCTCTGAGCTGTCCGCACAGAGCCTGATGCAGGGCTCGAACCCATGGACCATGAGATCATGACCTGAGCTGAAGTCAGCTGCTTAACTGACTGAGCCACCCAGGCGTCCCCATCAATGATACTTTTAAAAAGATCTCCTGGAGATGGGCCCTTGAATCAGCATACAATGTGCATTTGATACAGTTTTTTAAATGTCTGGAGGGACAAAGGACCAGTACAGTGAAAAGGTGCCTAGGACCAAGTGCAGGCAGGGCTTGAGACTTTGCTGTGGATCTTCCCATGCCAGGAGGTGGTCTCTTCCGGTGTTCCCCCCAGAGTGCCCCACTTTGCAGGGGCTGCTCCCTACAGTCGACGTTCCCGTCAGGCGACGTTCCCGCCGGGGACCTGTCTCCTCGCCATCCAGGGAGGCCATGTGGCCCTGCGCCTGTAGTTCTGGGCTTTGGAATCACAGTACCTTGACTCTAATTCTGCCTCTACAACTCCCTAGCTATACGACTTTCTGTCTTGGAGATTCAGTTTCCAACTTGTAGACTAGGGGACAGTATGCAGAATCCACCACTCACACCTGGTCCAAGTCACCCCGATTCCCTGCTTCCACTCTGGATCCTTCAGTCTTTTCTCCACATGACAAATATTTTAATTTTTCTTAATGTTTATTTTTGAGAGAGACAGAGAGAGACTGAGTGTGAGCAGGGGAGGGGCAGAGAGAGAGGCAGGCACAGAGTCTGAAGCAGGCTCCAGGCTCCGAGCTGTCAGCACACAGCCTGACGCGGGACTCGAACCCACGAATCAGGAGATCATGACCTGAGCCGAAGTCGGATGCTTAACCGACTGAGCCACCCAGGCGCCCCCCCGCGACAAATAGTTTAAAGTGAAAGCCACTTGATTTCACTCCTCCAAATAACTACTTCCCCGATCCCAACAACGGATGTGCAGGCTCTCTGTGATCCTGCCCCTGCCATACTCTCAACCTCATCTCCTAGTGTTCTCTGCCTGCTGTCCTCACCCCAGCAGCCCTGCTGTTCCTTGGTACCCCAGGCATGCTCCCACCCCAGGACCTCTGCATACACTCCTGCAAGGAACAGTCTTTCCCCCAGATGGAGGCAGCATCGTGTGGCAGTAGGGGAGAGACACTGCATGGCCTGGGTTTCAGTCCTGACTCTGCCACTTGCTAGGTGTGTGGCCTTAGGCAAATTACTTTTTCTGTTTTGGTTTCATCATATGTAAACTTGTCATAAAAATAGTATCGCCTGTTGTCATGAAAATTCAGACTACATGTGTAAATTCTCTAGAATGCTTGGCAAATACTTAGAACTGAATGTGATGTAGAGACAGAAACATGTTTATAAGGATACTCAGTACGAAATTATATACATCGTTTACTCCCCTAGTCCTTTGGTTCTTCACTCAAACTTCAGGGGGCACCCCGACTGCCCCGTTGAATTCCCCAAGTCCCTTATCCCTGTCACCTGCTTTTTCTTACAGCGTCCTTGTATATTGTATACTTATTTCCCTGTTGTCTGTTTCTCTCTGTACGAGAGCTCCGTGGAAACAAAGATAGTGTCTATTTTGTTCACGTCTGTCCTCACTCCCGGAACGGTGCTGTCACTGGGGAAGGGGCTCATTGTATACTTATCAGTTGACTTGGTGAAGGAATAGAAATGCCTCCTCGAAGCACATTTCAAGAATCGATGGGGCGGCACATTAAGCGCTCAGCGCAGTGCCTGGCACACACAAGGACTATTAGCTATTTTTCAATGTTTTTCAATAAACGTGAACTCCTTTCATTGGCATTGTACCTGGCAAGGGCTGAAGGGGAAAGGTAAGCCATACGACGCTTTCGTGCCCCAAAGGAGAAAGTGGGAGGCTCTCTCAGGGACGCAGACCCGAGCAGGAGCCTTGACACCAGGGGAAGGAAGGACTCGACAGGACACGCCTAGGCCTCAGCAAAGGAATCGTGCTGGGTGACAGACACAGCTACTGGAACTCGAGGCAGCAATTTGTCACGGCTCTTTATTTTTTCAACAGCCCTCGCAGCTCTGAGACTTAGGAGGGACTTAGCTTATCCCCTTTTTCCGAGGGAGCTGAGTGCAGAGCGGTGAAGTCACGTGTGAACACGAGCCCACGCCTTCCTCTCTCCTCCGGGGCCTTCCCGCTCGGCCACGGGACCTAATCACCAGGACCTAAGCTCTTTACGCTAACGGTGTTTTCTATTCAGATCAACTGAAAAGAAAATTCATTTATCAGTTAACGTTACGTAAATATTTCTTACCCCTATCTTGTAATGAACATCTCGCGTTTGTGAAACAGGGACTTTCAGGATCCAGCAATGGGACACACGCAGACACGACTTCCTGGAGTCGGCTCCGGGTCTGGGAATGTTTGTGACTGTTACAACCTACAATGATGAGGTAAAGCATTCTTTGGTGTTTTGTCACTAAAAGTTCCCATTTGCGAAAAACTCTTATGCCACGTATCCCCACAAACTTGAAACGCGTCCGCATAGGCACTCATCAACCAGAGCTTACAATTTGTCATGTGTACAGCCCCGAAGAGAGGCGCTGCACAAAGACGTGGCAAGTGCCCGCCTCCGGGGAGCCTGTAGTCTGGCTGAAGAGCAGAGACCTTAACGCAAAACATTTTAAAATAGTAGAAATGCTAGGCCTCGTGCGCATCATCTTGAGGTCTGCTGGTCGTGCTGGGAAGATGGGACCCCCAGGGCCGAGGCATCCCTGTGGTTTTGTCAGGAGCACAGCCTCACCCACGCAGGAGGGCCACAGAGGCGCCCCCGCCCTCCTCCCTGGCAGGCACTTTCTTTAGTTACGTGGCAGCCTCTGGTCTGTTTGGTCCCCTTGGGGTTAACGGGAGTAGAAAAGGCACCATGGTCGAGTGGGAAGGATGTGAATTTTGGAGTCAGAGCCAAGTTCAAGTAGAGACCGTCAAGCTGAATCTTCAGCGGGTTGACTGCTCCAGTCCTGTCTTGTCGTCTGTGCGTTGGATGTAACGGAGACCTCCAGTCCCCACCACACCAGCTCAAGACACTCTGACTTGCTTGGTCCACGAATTCAAACGCAGTTGCAAGAACTACTTCCCTTTGGACGTGGAGCTGCCCTGGGATGTGCTCGTGGTGGAGCAAAGCCTCACAGAGCAGAACAGGCATTTCCTCTGCGGGGGGGAGAGGACAGAAAGCTCCTGTTCTCATTACACTGGATGGTTGCCTGGTCCCAGCGCAGGAGATATTTTGACATCCCTGCTCCTGTGGAGACTCCACTCCAGCTGAACTGTTGGTACACTTGACCCTGGCCTGGTACAGCACCTTCTCCTGGCGCGCCCGGCACCGGCCTAATGGTGGTTCTGCCAGGGTCACTTTCCTGACTGCTGTCTGCACAGCTACCTCCTCTCCCTACCCTTATGCTGAGACCCAACTCTTCTTGGTCCTTTTATGAACTATCTGGGAATGTCTCTATGGCTTATTAAGTGCGGAATTGAAATTTTAGTTGAGCTAAAAACTGTCACAGAAATCCCAATTACTGTTTCTAAGACAGAGAAGATTCATTCTTCAAAAGCATAGTTGCCTGAAACAATACCCCCTTCTAAATTTTTCAAATTGTATTTATTTTGAGAGAGACAGTGTGAGTGGGGAGGGGCAGAGAGAGGGAGAGAGAGAATCCCAAGCAGGCTCCACACTGTCAGCACAGAGCCCAACTTGGGGCTTGAACCCACGAACCACAAGGTCATGACCTGAGCAGAAACTGAGAGTCGGTGACTTAACTGACCGAGCCACCCAGGCATCCCCTGAAACAATACGTCCTTCTAGAAGGGATGAAAAATATTTCCATTCATTCTGCATTCGACAAATATTTATCATGGTCCTAATACATACCCCGCCCTCTTCTTGGCCTAAAAGAGACCAACTTCTCACCCCATAGGCCTGATTTTCAAGAAAACTCTATTCGAAGGAAGAAGAAACAGCCCTAGTTTCAACATTTCTTACAAGATCCCCTTTTAAGGTCCTTATCAGCACCTTCACAAAGCTTCTGACCATTGTTACCTGATCAGTGTGTCTAGGAGCACAGGGCACTCTAAGTTGCCCCCCTTGGTCGTCTCCCCGTTCCTACGGCGTGTGATTGACAGCCCAAGGGAATAACACGGCTGGTAGGGCAGGCAGTAACAACATCTGTGTCCCATACAAACACATGCATTTTGTATCCCATTGTCCATCATTTCCCTAACAGTCGGTGATGTTGAGCATCTTTTCATGCGCTTTTTGGACTTTTTTTCTTTTAGCACTTTGAGATTATCAATCCACTGCCTTCTGGTCTCCAAAGTTTCTGATGAGAACTCTGCTGATAATCTTTTTTTTTTTTTTTTTTTTTTTTTTTTTTTTTTTTTAAGTCTGCTGATAATCTTATTGAAGATCCCTTCAATGACCATTATGCAGATCCCTGATCTTGGGAGGACAAGGTCATTCGGCCACCCTGGCTTCCTTCCACACGCTACGTGCAAGCTGTTCTAGCAACACACGCACAGCTGCCTGCCATGTGGCTGGGCTACAGATGCGGATGAGGGCGCGCACGGGGATGGGATGGGTAGCTACTACTGTGCTAAGAGCTGACACTGACCAAAATTAACCACAGTCCACCACCCAAGGCTTCCCCTGGAAGCTGAAATCTTTCCATAGACTCCATAGTTCCAAAATAGTTACATCAGGCAGATTCCAACAGTGTGATTGTTGTCTAGATGGCAAGACAGACTCCTGGTGCTGCCTACTCCACCATCTTCCCACAATCCTCTTCTGGTTCAAAATATTTTGAAATTTCTTTTAGGATTTCTTCCTTGCCCCATGTGTTAATTTAAAATGTGCTTAATCTCTAAATGTGTGTTTTATTTCTGAATATTTTGACATCTTCCAACTATCTTTGTTACTGATTTCTTTTTTTTTAATTTTTTTTCAACGTTTATTTATTTTTTGGGACAGAGAGAGACAGAGCATGAACGGGGGAGGGGCAGAGAGAGAGGGAGACACAGAATCGGAAACAGGCTCCAGGCTCTGAGCCATCAGCCCAGAGCCTGACGCGGGGCTCGAACTCACGGACCGCGAGATCGTGACCTGGCTGAAGTCGGACGCTTAACCGACTGCGCCACCCAGGCGCCCCTCTTTGTTACTGATTTCTACTTTAACTCCATTGTGTTTTGAGGGTAGACTTTGTATGGTTTCTATTACCATTATTATTTATTGAAATGTAGTTGATGATCTCTACTATTTTAAATGGATTCAGGTGTGTTTTGTGGCCCAGAATGTGGGCTGTCTTGGTGAGTGTGGCCTTGAGAATTTGCATATTCTGCAGTTGGTGGATGAAGTCGGCTACAGACATCCGCTAGGTGCCGTTGACTGATGGTGCTGTTGAGTTCAGCGATGTCCTTCCTGACCTGCTGCTGGATCTGCCTGCTCCTGACAGAGGGGTGGGTGTCAGAGCCTCCCGACTACGGGCGGGTTCTCCTCTTCCTCCTGCAGTCCTGTCGGTTTTTGTCTTGCGTAGCTGGGCGCTGTGTTGTTAGGTGCTCACCCTTTAAGGATTGTTTTGTCTTCTTGGATAATTGACCTCTTTGTCATTATGTAAAGCTCTGTTATGTAATTATCCCCGATAGCCTTCCTTGATCTGAAGTCTGCTGTATCCAAATAGGAGTACTCCAGCTTTTTTGTAAGGTTAGCTTAAAGTTAGCATATACATCTTTCTCCATCCCTTAACTTTTTTAAAACGTTATTTATTTTGAGAGAGAGAGACAGAGAGACAGAGAGAACAAGTGGGGAAGGGGCGGAGAGAGATGGAGAGAGAATCCCAAGCAGGCTCCACACCATCGCCACACAGCCGGATATGGGACTCAAACTCACAAACCATGAGATCAAGACCTGAGCTGAAACCAAGAGTCGGACACTTAACTGACTGAGCCACCCAGGTGCCCCCTCCATCCTGTAACTTTTAATCTACATGTGTCTTTATATTTAAAGCAGGTTTCTTATACACAACATACAGCTTTGGTTTTGATCCACTCTGACAATCCCTGTCTTTGAATTAGTACATGTAGACCACTGACATTCAAAGTGATTACTGGTATCACTGGATGAACGTCCACCGTGTTTGTTCCCATTTCCTATTCACTGCCCTGTTCTTTGTTCCTATTTTTGTCTCCCACTTTTTCTATCTTTTGTGGGTTTTATTTGAGAGAAAGAGAGAGAAAACACAGGGCAGAAGGACAGAGGGGGAGAGAGAGAATCTCAAGCAGGCTCCTCGCTCAGCATAGAGACCTCCATGGGGCTCAATCCCAGGACCCTGGGATCATGACCTGAGCTGAAATCAAGAGTCAGATGCTCAAGTGACTGAACTACCCAGGAGCTCCAATCTTTCATGACTTTGAGTATTTTATGTGATTTCATTTTGTCTCTTTTCTTAGCATATCAATTATACTTTTTGAGCTTTTTTTTTTTTAATGGCTGCCCTAGAATTTGCAATATATATTTGCAACCAACACAAGTCCACTTTCAAGTACCACCACACCTCTTCATGGGGGGTGCACATGCCTTAGAGTAATCAAGCATTCCGGATTCCTCCCTCCTGTCCCTTTCCGTCATGCCGTCCTCCATTTCACTTACACGTGAACTATAACCAAATGCATTGTTGTCATTATTTGAACAAACTAGTATCTATTAGATCAGTTAAGGAAAATAAGTTTTTACTTTACCTTAACTCAGCCCTTCTCTGATCTCTTCCTTTATGGAGATCTGAGTTTCTGAACCGTATCATTTTCCTTCTTCTTTGAGAACTTACCAGTTCTTGCAAGGTAGGTCTAGCAATGACAAACTCCCTCAGATTTTCTTTGAGGAAATCTTTATTTCTACTTCACTGTTGAAAGGGAATTGTGCAGGATACAGAATTCTAGGCTGGTGGGTTTCTTCGCTCAATGCGTTAAATATTTCATTCCATGCTTTTCTTGCTTGTGTGGTTTCTGGAGACGGCGGATGTAACTCTTACCTTTGCTCCTTTACAGTGAAGGTGTTTTTCTCCTCTGGCTTCAAGATGTTTTTATCACTGATATCGGCAGTTTTATGATATGCCTGGGTGTAGGGTCTTTCTCTGGTTTGGTTTGTTTGGCATTGATCCTGTTTGGTATTCTCCGAGTTTTCTGGCTCTGGGGCTTGGTGTCCGACACTCACCAGGGGGAAATTCTGTCATTATTGTTTCAGGGATTTCTTCCATTTCCTCCTCTTTCTTCTCCTTCCAGTATGGCCATTACGTGAATGTTACACCTTTAACAATCGTCCCACAGTGCTGGGATATTATGTTCCATTTTTTTTTTCAGTCTTTTTTTCTCTTTGCTTTTTCAGTTTTAGAAATTCCCATGGACATATCCTTATGCTGGGAGATTCTTTCCTCAGCCGTGTCCAGTCTAATAAGGCCATCAAAAGCATCCTTACTTTCTGTTACAGCATCTAAAAAGTTTCTTAGAACTTCCACCTCTCTGCTTACATTACCCTTTTGTTCTTGGCATACTGCCTGCTCCCTCCGTGAGAGCCCTTTGCATATTAACCACAGTTTTTCCAAATGCCTGGTGTCTACTCATTCCAGTATCCCTGAAATGTCTGAGTCTGGTTCAGATGCCTGCTCTGTCTCTTCAAACTATGTTTTTTGCCATCTAGTAGTAGTCCTTGAAATTTGTGGTTGATGAAAACTGGACATCATGTACCAGGTAAAAGGAACCCAGTACTGGTGCCCACGGTTTCTGCTCTGGTAAGTTGTGATTCTTTGTATTTACTGGTCTCTCTAGTGTTGGGGGCAGTGGTTTACCCTGTGACCTCAATTCTCTGACAGATCTAAAAAGAACTGCTTTCCTTTTTGTTCATCTTTTTACTTAATAGGACAGAGTGGCAACTTCCAAGCTCCTTGATGACAGACTAGAAGTCCTATACCTGTTCTTATAAAATGGCAAACAATGTAGAAATTAGCTAAACAGTAAATCAAATTTGCCCAACAAAAATAACCAACTAACAGGTCGGTGTGTATTCTTCTAAGAATACAGTCTTCTTCTAAGCTTCTGGAAACATACATACATGCGTTTTGCAAATGCTCTTTTTAAAAAATATATTGTCAAATTGGCTTACATACAACACCCAGTGCTCATCCCAACAAGTGCCCTCCTCCGTGCCCATCACCCACTTTCCCCCTTCCCCTTCCCTCACCCACCATCGACCCTCAGTTTGTTCTCTGTAGTTAAGAGTCTCTTATGGTTTGCTTCCCACCCTCTCTGTTTGTAACTATGTTTTCCCCTTCCCTTCCCCCATGGTCTTCTGTTAAGTTTCTCAGGATCCACATATGAGTGAAAACATATGGTATCTGTCTTTCTCTGACTTATTTCACTGAGCATAATATCCTCCAGTTCCATCCACGTTGCCGCAAATGGCAGGATTCCATTCTTTCTCATTGCCAAGTAGTATTCCATTGTATATATAAACCACATCTTCTTTTTTTTTAAATTTTTTTTTCAACGTTTATTTATTTTTGGGACAGAGAGAGACAGAGCATGAACGGGGGAGGGGCAGAGAGAGAGGGAGACACAGAATTGGAAACAGGCTCCAGGCTCTGAGCCATCAGCCCAGAGCCTGACGCGGGGCTCGAACTCACGGACCGCGAGATTGTGACCTGGCTGAAGTCGGACGCCTAACCGACTGCGCCACCCAGGCGCCCCAAACCACATCTTCTTTATCCATTTGTCAGTTTATGTACATTTATGCTCCTTCCATAATTTGGCTATTGTTGAAAGTGCTGCTATAAACATTGGGGTACAAGTGCCCCTCTGCATCAGCACTCCTATATCCTTGGGTAAATTCCTAGCAGTACTATTGCTGGGTCATAGGGTAGTTCTATTTTTAATTTTTTGAGGAACCTCCACACTGTTTTCCAGAGTGGCTGCACCAGTTTGCATTCCTACCAACAGTACAAGAAGGTTCCCATTTCTCCATGTCCTCGCCCGCATCTATAGTCTCCTGATTCGTTCATTTTAGTCACTCTGACCAGTGTGAGGTGGTATCTCAGTGTGGCTTTGACTTGTATTTCCCTGATGATGAGTGACGTTGAGCATTGTTTCATGTGTCTGTTGGCCATCTGGATGTCTTCTCTGGAAAGGTGTCTATTCATGTCTTCTGCCCATTTCTTCACTGGATTATTTGTTTTTCGGGTGTGGAGTTTGGTGAGTTCTTTATGGATTTTGGATACTAGTCCGATATGTCATTTGCAAATATCTTTTCCCATTCCATCGGCTGCCTTTTAGTTTTGTTGATTGTTTCCTTTGCAGTGCAGCTTTTTATCTTCATGAGGTCCCAATAGTTCACTTTTGCTTTTAATTTCCTTGCCTTTGGAGATGTGTCGAATAAGAAATTGCTGTGGCTGAGGTCAGAGAGGTTGTTGCCTATTTTCTTCTCTGGGGTTTTGATGGTTTCCTGTCTCACATTCAGGTCTTTCATCCATTTTGAGTTTATTTCTGTGTACGTTGTAAGAAAGTGGTCAAGTTTCATTCTCCTACATGTTGCTGTCCTGTTCTCCCAGTACCATTTGCTAAAGAGCCTTTTCTCCATTGGATACTCTTGCCTGTTTTGTCAAAGATTAGTTGGCCATACATTTGTGGGTCCATTGCTGGGTTCTCATATTCTATTCCGTTGGTCTATGTGTCTTTGTGCCAATACCATACTGTCTTGATGATTACAGCTTACAAATGCTTTTTTAATTAATTTACTGATTTTGACAGAGAAAGAGTGAGATAGAGTGCGAGTCGGGGAGGGGCAGAGAGAGAGGGAGACAGGGAATCTCAGGCAGGCTCCGTGCTGTCAGCACAGAGCCTGATGCGGGGCTTTAACCAACGAACCGTGAGATCATAACCTGAGCCAAAATCAAGAGTTGGACACTTAACTGACTGAGCCACCCAGGGGCCCCTACAAATGATTTTTTAAATAAAAAATACGATCCTATACAGACTGCTCCACCACAGGATATCATGGACACCTTTAGTACAGGTATGGGTATAGTACTCTCTTTTTTGGCCATGTAATATGCCTTTATTTGGCTTTGTCTGAATTTAATCAATCCCCTACTAAAAAGTATTAAAGTAATTTTAAGAAAGCAAGGTTACCATTGCAAATAACACCACACTGAATATCCTTTTACATATAATTTTTTCCACTTGTTCATTTCCATAGAATAAGTTTCCATAGGTAAAACCACTGAGTTGATGGTTATATACATTTTAAGTTTTAATACATATTGCTGACCTGCTCTACAAAATGGCTGTTCAACTTACATTCCCAAATCAGTGTTTAGAGACACTATTTCTCAATACTATCCCCGGATACTTTTATTTAAATCTTTGACAATCGGATAGCGAATAAGGGATATCTTACTGTGTGTTTGTGTGTGTTGTTTTTCCCAACAAGGCTAAATAATTTTCACATTCATCAGCCACTTCATTTCTTCTTTAGGAATAGCACAATTTTTACATGATAGAGGGGAGATTTATTTTTAAGAAGGGAAAGTAGAGAATAATAAACTTAAACTATGGATATCCTCAATCCTAGGTGTTATTGTCCAAGTTATATGGCCCACAAGGAACATTCTATTTTACTTCACATTCACCTGGCGAACACATCATTTGCTTGGAATCTAACTCTACAAGGCTTGTGTCATTTGGAGGGAGTAAGCTGGTGAGTACATGCCTCCCGTGTCCGTGCTGATGAATAGGGCGTCAGTGCTACTCGGGCGTGACGCTGGTATGCAGAACCATCACTCCCGACTGGCTAGAGCCTTATGAAAGTCCTGGGACCACATCTCAGTGCAGCAACCACAGAAGGGGCTGCACCGCTTGGAAGGGGTTCAAAGGAGAGCCACGGTGTTGATTAAAGGGCTTGAAAAACAAGAACTGTGAGGGACGGTTAAAAGAACTGTGATCATTCAGGCCTGAAAACAAGCGAAGCCTGGACGGTAAATTAACAACGCAATTGCAATAAACACAACTCTTACATGGCAGATGGTGACTGGTTATTTTCTAAAGGTGCTGAGTGCAGATGAAGAGAATCTGTAGGTTAGCATCAGAAATTAAGCTTCACGTAAAGAAAAATTTCCTGAAAGTCATCAAATTCCCTCGGCACCAAAGGCGTTTGCCTAATGGTAAATCTGACGTTCAGGAGGGTGTGAGTACTCTCTCTGGGTCGTGGGTCACCATCTAATGCGTTAATATCACCAAGAAAGACTACTGAGTACGGCAGGGGATTGAGAGCCAGCGAGAGACTAGAAAGAAGCGGGGCCTGCTCTAGAAGGGGCAGGGGGGGGGGGGGTGGAGAGAGCTAGGAGAGGAGTCGGGGAGACAGAAGGCAGACGTGGAGGGGAGCTGTTTTAAGCATGTTTCTTCCTTGTCACTGTTTGTACAGCGGATTCACTTAGAGATCCGAGTTGGACAACACGACCTTGAGGCAGCCGCTGCTCAAGCGAAGGACAAAGTTAATGAAGTTAGCTTCAAGCTGGAACGTCTAATTGAGCAAATTGAGCAAATAGTCAAAGAACAAAACTATCAAAGGGTCAGTCTGCCCATTCGACTTACTCTCTCTCTTCCTGCCAGGAATGCAGCTCTGGAGACAAAGCCCCCAAACTGCAGGGAGAACAGACTGCCTGCTCCCCGTCTCTCTCTCCGAGCTAGCACGGTGGGGACACTCAGGGTGAAGGGCAAGAGTGAGCTGTCACTACCTTTTCACTGTCTGCTGGACGGTGAGCTCCTCTAGGAAGGGGGACTGCGGCCCATCCGCTCTTGGGGTGGGAGCCGACAGAGCGAATAAATAAATGCTCCCCAACACCCCCCACGTACATGGAGAGGCGTGGTGTGCCTGCTCTGCAAATGACAGTTCTGTTCTTGTGACGCTGTGTGTTTCCGGGTCCCTGTGCTCAGTGGACTCTGCTCACACGTGGGGCCAGATCTGCCCCCTGCTCACCTTGTGTCGTCTCCAGACACCAGTTTCCTTGCCTGGAAAATAAGAGGAGGACAGGCGTGCTTGACAGAGTGCCCAGCTTAACGTGAAGCAAGGACGCGGATGATGAAAACCTGTCACTTTGCTCAATGCTGGGAAATAAATGTAAAAGATAATGGATCAAATAGCAGACACTCTACATCAAAATACAAAAACATGCTTTATAAGGTTGATTCTTAGTCCTTGTGTTAAGCCAACAACATGCCCCAGCTTAATCAGATACTGCACTCTGGTATGAGATACTAACTGGGAAATATTAAACATCTTCAAAACATATAGCACCTTCCCCTCAAATTCATACATTAAATGCTTTAAGAAACTAAACCTGCCTATTTCTCTTCTACATAGGACCGTGAAGAAAATTTTCGAATGACCAGCGAAGATACAAATAGCAATGTGTTATGGTGGGCTTTTGCACAAACATTAATCTTCATCGCAATTGGAATTTTCCAAATGAAACACCTTAAAGACTTCTTTATAGCTAAGAAACTTGTTTAAGATGTTAACAAAGAAAACTACTTGCTAACTTGCATAATGTTTGGTTAATAAATCAATATGTATTCATAACCGAGTATTGCCTTTATGATTTCAAAGATTATCAGATTGAAATTCATGTTACAGCATTGTATGGGGCGCCTGGGTGGCGCAGTCGGTTAAGCGTCCGACTTCAGCCAGGTCACGATCTCGCGGTCTGTGGGTTCGAGCCCCGCGTCGGGCTCTGGGCTGATGGCTCAGAGCCTGGAGCCTGTTTTCGATTCTGTGTCTCCCTCTCTCTCTGCCCCTCCCCCGTTCATGCTCTGTCTCTCTCTGTCCCAAAAATCAGTAAACGTTGAAAAAAAAAAATGGGGTTTTTTTGAAAGGTAAAATTAACCCATGACATATATTTAACCCAAAACATCAAAAATATTACCATTTTAATATGTAAACAGTACAAAATTATTGAGGTAGTTCACGTTTCTTTTTTTTTAATTTATTTTAATTTTTTAAACATTTATTTCTTTTAAGGGAGGCAGAGACAGAGTGTGAGCAGGGGAGGGACAGAGAGAGGAGACACAGAATCTGAAGCAGGTTCCAGGCTCTGAGCTGTCAGCACAGAACCCGATGGGGGGCTTGAACTCACCGACCACGAGATCGCCACCTGAACTGAAGCTGGACGCTCAGCCACCGGCACCCCATGTTCCTTTTTTGAAATGAACTCTTGGCGACCCAAGTGTATTTTACACTCAAAGCACGTCCCAATCTGGACCACTCACTTTCAGGGGCTCAATGGTCACATGACATTCATAGCTACAGTGCTGGACAAGGGAGTCCATCCTTCCCCGATTACTGCATTCCACTCCGAAAGCCACCCTGAGCCTCTGCTTTTTTCTAGTTCCCTGAAAGATGGCAACTTCCCTCCACACAAGCAAATGGCCCAGAGTTCTCTGAACCGAGTTCTCGTCCCTGGTCTCCAGTCGGCCCACCTCCACACGTGGAAGGAAGCTCTGCTCTTCCGAGCCGTGGAGGAGATGCGGCATCATCCGGGGAGTTCAACCGTGATACAGAACTATTTTCTTTAGCTTTTAACTCTGAAATAATCATAAGCTCACCGGAAGCTGCAAAAATAGCACAAGGAGCCCCTTCCCCCAGCTGCACCAGCTATGCTCTTTCAAAAGGAATAACCTGCCCCAGGAGGGCAGCAGCGGCCGCGACGCCAACCCCACCAAATGGTCCCACCCTGGGCCCCGGCCGCAGTCACATCCCGTCCTGGTTTACTCGGTCCGCCTGTGGCCCCGCACCTCCGTCTGCCCAGGACCCCTGGTCCCTCTGGTCAGCCCGGTGGCCCTAACCCGCCCACCCTCCGCCCCCGGCCCCCTTCCCGCACCAGGCAGGGTGCCGCGTGCGCACACGGTCTCCCAGCCATCACTGCCGTTCCCGCCGGTCCCGCTCCCCTCCCCTCCCCGCCTTGGCCTCCCCTGCCCGCGCTCTGCGCCTGCGCCTTCCCGGCACGCCCATGTGGGCGCCAACCGGGGACACCAGCACCGTCTCCGGGCCTGGACTAGGACACACGGCTCCACAGAAGACTTGGCAAGGAGTGTAGTGATGGAATGAGGGAGGCCAGGCCCCGGTGTGCACGTTCCTCCTCTCCACGTCCAGCCAAGACAGCCTGCGAGGAGAAGAATCTATCTAACCCCACCTCCCTCCCTTCCCCGGGTTGGTATGTTCCAGCACGGGTTTTGGCGGGAGCGACACCGCTCTCTGGTGCGCAGGCGCCGGGTTACAAGTTCGCGTTTGCGCAGGTGCAGAGTCGCCACCCTCTGCCCGCGGCGGGAGGCGGCGTGTGGGCCTTTTGCGGGCCTGGGCTTCTGCGCGGCGGCGGCGCGGACGCCGTGTCCGACATGGCCAGCTGGGTGTTCTGTAATCGCTGCTTCCAGCCGCCGCACCGGACGTCGTGCTTCAGCCTGACCAACTGCGGCCACGTGTACTGCGACGTCTGCCTGGACAAAGGTGAGGCGGGCGGGCCCTGGGGTCGGGCAGTACCGGGCGGCGGGGCGGGGCCGAGGGCGCCGGGTTCCTTCCCGAACCTCGGGTGCAGAGTCAGCAGGACGTCCTGCTGGGTGGGCGGCCGGAGGGATGGTGGAAAACGTGCTGGCCGAGATCGCAAGTGTCAGCCCCAGGAGTATGGTTCTCCCTGCCCTTTCGGAAGGCGGGTTAAACTAGGCCCTGTGTCCAGGATGCCTTTAAACACCAGCGCAGGGCCCCAGAAGGCGCGTCCTCACCTGGCATCAAGCGAGGGTGGAGCCAGAGCCTGCGGGGCAGGGGGCGGGAAGGTGAGAGACAGCCCGGACGCTTGGGAGCTCCCAGGCGGAGGTGACGCCGAGTGCAGAGATCCTAGGGTAGAAGGAAGTGTGGACGGGCTGGAGGAGCCGAGGGTGCTGGTGAAGTCGGCTGAAGCATGCTGCAGGGGATCCCCCCTGTTCTCCGGGCAGTAGGAAACCACTGGTTTTAAGCAGGGTGGTGATGTGATCAGAGGTATCTTTCTTTTTATGAGATTTTTTTAAGTTTATCTATTTTGAGATGGAAAGCAAGCGGGGCAGGGGCAGAGGGGACAGGGAGAGAGGGAGAGAGAGAATCCCAAGCAGGCTCCGTGCTGTCTGCACAGAGCCAATTGATCGTGACCTGAGCCGACTTCAAGGGTCCGACACTCAACCAACTGAACTACCCAGGTGTCTCTTTCTATGAAAATTTTAAGTTGAAGACAAAGAGTGGCGCCTGGGTGGTTCAGTCGGTTGAGCGTCCGACTTTGGCTCAGGTCATGATCTCGCAGTCTGTGGGTTCAAGCCCCGCATCGGGCTCTGTGCTGACAGCTCGGAGCCTGGAGCCCGCTTCGGATTCAGTGTCTCCCTCGTTCTCTGCCCCTCCCCCACTCGCTCTGTCTCTCTCTCAAAAATAAATTTAAAAATTTTAAAAATTAAAAAATAAATAAACATTAAAAAAAGAGAGAAGAAATCACAAAGAAAAAGATAGATTTGACCTAAAAGAAAAAAAAAATGTGAAACCTCTGTATGCCCTACATGCCAAAAACTACACAAAGTTAAAGGGCAAATTGCACACTCATGAAAATAACTATCTTATTAATGACCAAGTTAATTGTCTCCCTATGTAAAGAGCTCAATATAAATGATTAAGAAAAATATCGTCCCAGTAAAAAAGTTAGCCAGGAATATAAACTGATAATTCACAAGAGAGAAAGACAAATAGGGGTGCCTGGGTGGCTCAGTCGGTTGACCGTCCGACTTCGGCTCAGGTCATGATCTCGTGGTTTGTGGGTTCAAGCCCCGCGTCAGGCTCTGTGCTGACAGCTCAGAGCCTGGAGCCCGCTTCCGATTCTGTGTCTCCCTCGCTCTCTGTTTCTCCTCCACTCGCGTGTTTTCTCTCTGTCTCTCAAAAATAAATAAACATTAAAAATATTTAAATTGAAGTACAAAGAAAAAGTCACGAATGCAAAGCACAAGACTTTTTACAGGGTGAATTTACCTGTGAAACCAGCTCCCAGATTGAGAGAACATCACCACCCTCTCAGAAGCCACATCAGAGAGAACCACTAACCCGATGTCTATCTTGTGGACCGCCTTGGGTGTATATCTGCAGTGGGGTTGCTGAGTCTCACGCGTGTGTTTGAAAAGTCTCCGGCAGCTGGGTGAAAAGGTAGTTTGGTGGGAGACAGGAACTGGGCAAGAGGCTGTGCGGTTGAGCGATGATGGGGCCGTGGGCCTAGAGAGATGCAGCACAGTGGAGTCTGGGGAGCGGCCTGGCCTCTGACTGGAGGATTGGGGGTTGGGTTAGCAGCACCGAGCACAGAGAGAAAACAGCACCTCCCAGGGTGAGGTTCAGGGGCCCCCGTTGGACGCTGAGATTCCGGTGAGAGCCATCCGAGGCGGGGAGACTGGGAGGGATTGAGTATTTGGGGCTCGGGGTCAGGGCAGCCAGGAACACGTCGGGGAATTAGCATGTATGTAGTCATCGAAGATACTGGAGTGAGGAGAGTGTGGAGGGCAGAGGGAACCAGGGCATGGTATCACCTGGGAGGAGCGTTTCTTGAAGACGATGGGTGGAGGTAGGAGGAGGCTGTGGAAGAAAAGAAAGCAGAGTATTTGGGACCTGGCGTCCCAGGGCAGAGTGGAACCTCCCCCTGGATTTAGTGGCGTGGGTGAACTTGGGTGAAAACAGCGGAGACCAGTGCATGCTCTCAGCCTTGGGGGACTGGTTCAGGCAGGGCGATTCCCAGCGGACCTCTAGCTCTTGAAGCCTAAGGCCAAAGCACATTCCAGTAGCCCTAGGTCATGCCTCCAAAAAGCCACAGGTGCTGGGACATAGAACAAAACAAAAAAGACAGCAGAAAGGCTTGAGGGCTCTGGGTGGAGCACTGACCATAACTTCCCAGCTGTTTGGTGACCGTTACTCGGAGATAAGCCCTCCTTAAGCTTTGGTGCATATCCTCCCAGACTCTTTCCTATGGATACAGGTTTTTAACACAAAAATGGGAGGTGCCTGAGTGGTTCAGTGGGTTATGCGTCAGACTTCGGCTTAGGTCATGATCTCGAGGCTTGCGAATTTGAGCCCCACATCGGGCTCTCTGCTGTCATCCTGGAGCCCGCTGCAGATTCTCTTCTCTGTCCCCCCACCTCTCAAAAATAAACATTAAAAAAATTTTTAATGGTATTGCGTGTATACCGTTTAGTTACCTGCATTTATGAACAGGACATGGATATTTTTTCATGTTCAACTAGGTCTGTATCATCCTTTTTAAGGTTGCACAGTATATCTTTTAGTTGCCATACCAAGACCTATTTAACTGATTCCCTGGTAAAAGCCGTGTGTTTTTTCTAATGTTTTGCTGGTAAACAGCACTTGTTCACTTGTGTGGTTTTCTCCTTTGCGTGTGTGTAAGCGTGGAAGTGCCTCACTGGGCCGTGCCCGTCACAGCCGACACCTAGGACCAACCCGCCCAGAAGGCGTGGCTGCGCCACGTCCCCAGCACCGATGGCCTGGATTTTCTTTTCATACATTACTGGTGGTCTGTGCTTTGGCCAGCGGCCCTCATACCTTTTACTGGAGTGCTTAATGGGTTAGTGAGCTCTGTTTGCACATTAAGTATGAATGTCACTTTTCCTGTCCATTAGCTGCAGACAAGTTCCTCTCTGTGTCCGGTCTGTTGCTGCCCCCGCCCTCAACACAACTCGCAGAGCTTTCGGAGTCAGCTCTGTTAATCTTTGACTCCACGGCTTCAGGCTGCAGCGATGCTCAAGGGGAAGTTCGGTGCTCCAGAATCCGCAGTAGCGACGAGGGGCGGGAACGTACCGCCAGGCGTGGATGTTTTCAGGAGAGGGCGACTTGAACGTGTTTGTAGGGAGAGAGGAAGGGGGTAGCTCTGGAGGCCACTGGAAGGGAGCCCGCTCTTTCTGTACCAGGACCGTCGACCCACGTGCTGGGGGTGGGACGGGACAGAGGCAGAAGGCAGAGTGAGCTGGGTTGTTCTGTGGTGGGTTACTGGAGGGGAGGCAGGGGATTGAGGGAGGTCAGCACGCGGTCTGGGGCTGGCCCGAACACCCCCCCCCCACAGGGAGTTGGGGGGACACTCAAGAAAAATGGATGGGCGCCGGCAGTGTTGCAGGTTCATCCAGGTTGGAACCCACGTCTCTGAATCCACTGCCCAGTTAAGTGATTTTTTTGCCCGGTTCTTAGCTACACTGGACGAGAAGCGGGGGAGAAAGAGAACCCGGGTTTGGGCTGGGTGTGCTGCTTGCAAGGGTGAGGAGCGCGGTGCTGACTGGCCGGCTCCGGGCTCCGGGCCGCTCTGTGGGAAAGTGAGACTCTGACATGTGGGGTCGGGGCCGAGCCCGGGACGAGGGGCCCTGCTGCCGCCAGTGACGTGGGTACAGGCGTAGGAAGGAGTCTGAGTTTGCCCACGACAGCGGCCGCTCCGGGGGCCCAGGGCGTAGTCACGGGAGAAGGGGCCCCTGTGGGGGCAGGCCAGGAAGTGCTGGACTTAGCGCGGGCTTCCCAGTGAGGACGAGCGTGGCGGAAACCAGCATGCTGCGGCAGGTGCGGGGCACTGGGGGCCCCCGGACAGGAGCAGGTGAGTCAGCCGACGCCAGCAGGTGGGAGGTACGAGGCCTGCGTCCAGGCGCCGCCGTGCAGGTGGCAGGAGCTCGGCAAACGCAGAGTCCTTTCCCGGTGAGCGGTCCCTGGTGTCGCAGAGGTGAGGCTGCGGGAGCAGAGCAAAACTCGGACTTCATGTGTTGGGTGGGGTGCAAGGAGCTACTTTCATTTTGAGTACTGACCATTGTTAATTAAGATATCGCTGCAAAACCGAACTGTGAGAGAGTTCTGAGACACATTTAGCTTCAGTATTGTTGATCTTCACAGTCACCAATTTGGGGCAGTTCTACAAGGCAGGAAGAGGTGGCTCGTTCGCTGCATAAACGGTGTCCCAACTCTGGCCACGTGCAGTGTCATGATGGAGTGTGGAAGTGTGGATGCTACGTTGTGAAGAAAACTGTAATTTGAATCTGCATCTCCACGCGTTCAGAAGCAATACTCACTGTGATATAGTAAAGTTTGCTTTTCTTTTACAGGTAGAAAGGGCGAGTGCTTGATTTGTAAAGTGCCTTGTCGCACACTTTTACTTTCAGAACACGTAAGTTCAAATATGTATTATCTGAATGTTGATCGGTATTTTTTTAGAGTATTATGTTATTATTTTTTTTAACGTTTATTTACTTTTGAGACAGAGACAGAGCATGAACGGGGGAGGGTCAGAGAGAGGGAGACACAGAATCTGAAACAGGCTCCAGGCTCTGAGCTGTCAGCACAGAGCCCGATGCGGGGCTCGAACTCACGGACCGCGAGATCATGACCTGAGCCGAAGTCGACCGCTTAACCGACTAAGCCACCCAGGCGCCCCGATCAGTATTTTTTTTTTTTAATATTGAGATTCAACATTTAGTCATTTGGAGTGTCTGAAAAATTTTTTCGTTTTGCTAGGTTAATTAGAAGATCTTCCAGGATTTCTGAGTAAAGTACAATCAGGGTTTGGTTTTGAATGCCTCGGATAACCTTCTTTTGTAGACTGGCCCTGTTTGTAGTTTGCCGTGCTGTGTTCCGGGAGGAGAAGATGAGGTGAATAGGGTCTCCGGTACAGTACAGACCCCTGAAGAAGGCGACAGAGTCTGGCTTTCCCTGGGGCTCATACGTAATGAAGAGGGTTGGAGGAACGTCAGTTCAGAGTTGATGACTGTCACCGTAGGCTTGAAACAATGACTTTTGTTTTCTCTTGAAAATACATCAGTTTAACTTGTTTGGTTTAAACTTAGTTGTAAATAATTATTGTCTTTATACTTAGGTTCTAAGAGATGTGTGTGATCGGATGTTTTAATCTATAACAAAGTTGGGTTTTTTTCTGATTATAAATATAATACGATGTCACAAAAAACTGAAATGATACAGTAAATCATAATGGAGAAGTACAAGTCCCCCAAATCCCGTTTCCCACAGATGTCAACAAGTGGGAACATAGTTCCTGCTGTGTGTTACTGGGATTTATCTTCTTACATAATGGTGTCTGCTCAGTTGACTTTACACTTCTGGCACGCCCACCCTCTCCAAAAACACTGCATACTGTTTCAGTATTTTCCTATTGGCAAAACTATTTCAGCAGTTTCCTAGTGGGGGGTTTTAGTTTTTCACTGTTGCAGTCTTACAGCCAACATTTTTTTACCATGTCTCTGCATATCTGTAGGAATAGTTCTATAGCATAAATTCCTAGAAGTGGAAAAATAAGGTCAAAGATTTAAGTGTTTGGTAGAAAGTGCCTTATTTCCTTTAAGAAATGTTGCCTCAACGTGGTTTTGATATGTGTTTCCCTGATGCCAAGTGATGTTGAACATCTTTTCATGCGTCTGTTGGCCATCTGGATGTCTTCTTTGGAGAAGTGTCTGTTCGTGTCTTTGGCCCATTTCTTCAGTGGATTATTTGTTTCTCGGGTGTTGAGCTTGATAAGTTCTTTATAGATTTTGGATCCTAACCCTTTATCTGATATGTTGTTTGCAAATATCTTCTCCCATTCTGTCGGTTGCCTTTTAGTTTTGCTGATTGTTTCCTTCGCTGTGCAGAAGCTTTTTACCTTGATGAGGTCCCAGTAGTTCATTTTTGCTTCTGTTTCCCTTGCCTCCGGAGATGTGTTGAGTGAGAAGTTGCTGCAGCCGAGGTCAAAGAGGTTGTTGCCTGCTTTCTCCTCGAGGATTTTGATGGCCTCCTGTCTTACATTTAGGTCTCTCATCCATTTTGAGTTTATTTTTCTGTCTGGTGTAAGAAAGTGGTCCAGGTTCATTGCTCTGCATGTCGCGGTCCAGTTCTACCGGCACCATTTGCCAAAGACACTGTCTTTTTTTCCATTGGATAATTTTTTCTGCTCTGTCAAAGATAAGTTGGCCACACATTTGTGGGTCCAGTTCTGGGTTTTTTTAACATCGGTCAGAGTGGCTAAAACTAACAACTCAGGCAACAACAGATGTTGGTGAAGATGTGGAGAGAGAGGATCTCTTTTGCGCTGCCGGTGGGAATGCAAACCGGTGCAGCCGCTCTGGAAAACAGTATGGAGGTTCCTCAAAAATTTAAAAATAGAACTACCCTACGACCCAGCACTTGCACTACTAGGAATTTATCCAGAGGATGCAGGAGTGCTGGTTCATAGGGGCACATGTACCCCAATGTTTATAGCAACCCTTTCAACAATAGCCAAATTTTAGAAAGAGCCCAAATGTCCCTCGACGGATGAATAGATAAAGAAGATGTGCCTGAAATCTTTGTTGCACCATATGCTAACTAACTTGGATGTAAAATAAAAAAAATAAGTAAAAAAGAAAAAATATATTACATATATTGTATATGTGTATATACACATATACATATACATATATATACATATATACATATGTATATATGTGTGTATATATATATATAAAACAGAATACTACCTGGCAATGAGAAAGAATGAAATGAACTCTTGCCATTTGCAACAACGTGGATGGAACTAGAGAGTATTGTGCTAAGTGGAGTAAGTCAGAGAAAGACACATCATACGTTTTCATTCATATGTGGAATTTGAGTAACTTAACAGGGGACCATGGGGGAAGGGAAGGGAAAAAAGTAGCTACAGACAGAGAGGGAAGCAAACTGTAACAGACTCTTTTTTTTTTTTTTTCAACGTTTTTATTTTTATTTTTGGGACAGAGAGAGACAGAGCATGAACGGGGGAGGGGCAGAGAGAGAGGGAGACACAGAATCGGAAGCAGGCTCCAGGCTCCGAGCCATCAGCCCAAAGCCTGACGCGGGGCTCGAACTCCCGGACCGCGAGATCGTGACCTGGCTGAAGTCGGACGCTTAACCGACGGCGCCACCCAGGCGCCCCTAACAGACTCTTAAATACAGAGAGCAAACTGAGGGTTGATGAGGGGCGGAGGAGAGGGGGAAATGATGATGGGCATTGAGGAGGGCATCTGTTGGGTTGAGCACTATGTGTTGTATGGAAGCGATGAATCACAGGAATCCGCTCCGGAAGCCAAGAGCACACTGTATACGCTGTATGTTAGCCAACGTGACAATAAGTTATAGCTTTTAAAAAAAGGAAAAAAAGAGACAAAAGAGGCTTTCAAGGAACTTTGAAAAGGAGATAAGCATATAAACAAATGATTATTAAAATGAACAATTAAAAGTAAGAACACGAAGGGGCGCCTGGTGGCTCAGTCAGTTAAATGTCCGACTTCAGCTTGGGTCACCATCTGGCGGTCCTTCAGTTCGAGCCCCGCGTCGGGTTCTGTGCCGACAGCTCGACGCCTGGAGCCTGCTTCAGATTTTGTGTCTCCCTCTCTCTGCCCCTCCTCCGCTCATTCTCTCTCTCTCTCTCTCTCTCTCAAAAATAAACAAACATTAAAAAAAAATGTTTTTAAAGTAAGAACATGGGGGGAGGGGGAAAGAAATGTACGGCTTTAGGCCCTCAGCTGTGCTTCCAGGCTCTGCTGACTGGTGCAGCTGGTCGGGCCTGCGGCCGAGGGAGGGGCGCCCCCGCCTTTCTCTGCCTTCTTGGTTTGCACGCTCAGTTTATGTGTGCTCTGTCTTGTTTTCTAATAAATGTATTTCAGACTGTCCATTTCCTTCTGTTGACTGCTGTTCTGCATCACTTTGAGCATTGGTTTTATCATTTCTAAATCGTCTTATTTCTCTTAAGTTCTTTTTCAACTCAGGAATTACTTGGGAGAATATTCCTTAATTTCTGAGAGATTAGATCTTCTTTCCTCCACCGTTTTTGTAGAAAACTTTTAATTTTATGCCTGTGTGATCAGAGAATATGGCCATGTGTTTTCTTTTTTTAATTGTCAAGATTTTCACTGTGTCTTCGTACGTGGCAGTTGTTAACGTTCTACAGATGCTTGAAGATGTACGTATTTGTTTATTCTCTGTGCACACGCGTGAGTGAAGTTGTTCGCGGCACCCGTGATGCTCCTGGCCGCTCTCTCCCGCACGCCCGCGTTGCATTCTGGGGCCGCCTCCAGCAGCCTCTCAGGGGCCCTCCTTTCTCCTCTGCCACCATGACGCCTAAGAGCCATTCTTCCTGCCCTCCCTCCTGCTTCCTGGCATCTTTTCTCCCCCCACAGCCAGAGGGGTCTGCGCACATGGGTCATGTGTCCCGGCCTTCTCGGGGTGAAACCCAAGTCCCCTCATGCCCGTGGCTCTGGGACCTGACCTCTGGTGGACACCTGGTCCCCTGGCCGGTGACTCCAACCTGCCACTGCTCCTGGGGCCAGGCTGCTTCCACCTCCTCCTTCCCCCACTGCCTTTAGGTCTCTGCCTATGGTTCTGTGTGACTGTGGTTTCTTTGACCTGTGGCAGGAAGGACACTTATAATCATGGCACGGTGTGTCTGCATTTGGGTGCGCATGAATCCATGCGTGTGCACGTCCGTGGACGACGTTTCACGGGACAACACGAACCCTTGTAAACGCAGTGCCCCTGGTGGTTTCTGCTCTGACTGGCTTTCTTTTGTCAGAGCCAGACACAGTGCATGGACCAGGCCAAGCTGATCTTCTGCGACCTGCTGTGTGAAAGCTGCCCACGCCTCTTACTCTGCCCGCACCTGCTCCTTTGGCTTCACACGCAGGACACCACCTACTTTGTATTTGTTGACTTGTTTGTCACCGGAAAGGGCCTCATCTGTCAGGTGGCGGGGAGACTGAAGCTGGGGAGCCCGCGGGGACCTGGGAGAGGCAGCCGGGCCCACAGGACAGAGCCTGTGATGAACGCACAGCAGAAGGATATATGGGCCGGAAGGGGTTGCACTTGGGCTGGAATTGGCTGGTTCTCCAGTGGAGATGGAAAGGAGCCCCTGCAGTGGGGAGGCCCCGAGCCCTGGAGAAGCCAACAGAGTCTGGACTCCAAGTGTGAGGACGTGGGACCTGGGGCCATGAGTGTGCAGGGCACTCTTCCACATGCCCACTTAAGGCCCTGGGGAGAAGCGGGCAGAGTCAGGGGCTGGAGGTAGCTAGACCAGAGGCTCCCCTAGACAGCATAGGCCTGGCTAAGGAAGATGCATGTGTGGCCCCAGGGCAGGAACCCCAGGACACCCACCCACAGGGTCTCCGTGATGGCTGTGCCCTCTTGCCTTCCCCTGACCTCTGAGGGGTGGATTCAGCCGTCCTGCCCCAGGCCCCAGGTCGGAGGCTGCTCGTGGTGAGGATGAGCCTGGTTCCTGGGCCGCAGCCCAAATCGGGACTCGGAGGACATGACCACGTGCCGGCAAGGACCTGGGTTTAGGACATTTGGGGGGTGTCCCACAGGGTTTCGGGGGATGACCTTCCTGTATGGCGGAAGAGAGAAGTGGTCAGCAGCCACTGGAGCAGCACGCTGGCCTGGCTGGGGGCTGTCTCTGGCCCTGCTCTCCCAGCTAGACTCAGTCTCCCCGCCTGCCTCTCGTGAACAATGCCTCCCCAGGCCTGGCCCCCAAAGCAGTCTCTTGGACAGCAACCCCCCCCCGCCCCCCACACACACACTCTGCTAAGTGGATGCTGGTGACCCAGCAGAGGAGGGCTGCTGGTGTCCGAGCGGAAGGCCATCCACTGAGCACAGGCCTCCACTAATGCGCAGGCAAGAAATAGGTGTCCCTCTTAAGTTAGTGCCTTCATGTAATTTTGGACCCAGCTTGTTAATTTCCACACAAAGCCCTGTTGGGTTTGCACTTCACTGATGACACAGGTAAACTGACATCCCTACAGTGGGGCCTCTAGGCCACAAGTGTGGCACGCCTCCATTTGTTTAGATGCGCTCCGGCTTCAGTGGCGGTTTTCTGTACAGAGGCTGGTGCCGCCGTTAGCGTCACCCTCGCGTATTGATGATTTGGGATAATTTCATCTCCTAAGTGCTTCTCGTTGGTGTGTAAAAATGGGTTGGTTTTGTTTATTAACCTTTATCTGGTGACCGCGCTAAATTCATTTGATAATGCTGTTGGCCGATGTGAAGATCCGTCTAGACTGTCTCTGTGCACAGTCGTGTCGTCTCCAAATGTTTAATTTCTGTGTCATTCCCCCCTTTCTTTCCTTGTACCTTCTTCTCACTGTGTAAGCAACAAGGGGACACAGTGGTGATGGCAGGAGTCCTTTGTCTCTTTCTGATTTCAGGGTCAAGCTTCCAGTGGGTCACCATGGAGTGTTCATGTGAGCTCTGGGTTTCTTACTAAGGGGTTATCATTTTACTTTTCTTCTTTATTTTGGTGATGTGGTGAATCGCATTTATTTTTAGAATTTTAAACTCACAGTAGAATTTCAAATACTGCAACTTGGTTGTGATGCAGTATAGCTTGTATGTGTAGATGAACTTGGGTTTTGTGCACCTGCATTCATGTGAGAACCGACCTGTGATTTTCCTTTCTTACATGCCCTTTTCAAGTTTTGGTGAATCAGGGTTTTGCTGGCATCATAAAAGGAGTTGGATATTCTTTCATTTCCTCTTTTCTGGAAGATTTTTTTTTTTTTAAGATTGGGGTTAGTCAGAGAATGGTAAAATTCATGTGTGACACTCTCTGATCCTAGAAGGCTGAGGAGGTTTTTAACTAGGGTTTTTTTTTTTTTTTTTAAATGCTTGTTTATTTTTTAGGGACAGAGCACGTGCGGGGAAGGGGTAGAGAGAGACAGAGGGAGACAGAGAATCCAAAGCAGGCTTCTCGCTGACAGCAGTAAGCCCTACGTGGGGCTCAAACTCACGAACCATGAGATCATGACCTGAGCCAAAGTTGGACACTCAGCTAACTGAGCTACCCAGGTGCCCCACTAGGGTTTAATTTTTCAATTAGACATGGAACTTTTCAGAGTTCCTAATTCTTGGGTCAGCTTAAGTAAGTCTTTTTCTAGGAATTTGTGCACTTCCTCTGAATTTTGAAATTTCTCATCATCCGCATGTCTGTAGCCATCTGTATTTTCAGTGTCTGTGAGATCTGTAGTGATGTCCTTTTTTTGTCGCCTTGTCTCTTTTTTTTCTTCAACAGTCCTACCTGGTTTTATTGTTAGTAAGTTAGTGTCCTCAGGTGTTTTGGCTCTGTTTGTCGTCACTTTGCATTTCTCAACTTTTGTTTTCTTTATCGTTTCCTTTTTCTTTTCTCTTTGGATTAAATTTGTTCTTTAAGATAATTGCTTACAGGAACCTCTAGCCTCTCCCTTCTGATATCTACATTGCAGGGTTGTGGCACCCTTCTGTTCATCCTTGCCTGCGTTTCTGCAATTGGCTGTGTTACATTTTTGTTATCTTTCACTTCAGAATACTTTGAAATTTTTTCTGATTACTCATGTGACCTGTGTGTTTTCTGAAACTGTATTGATTAATTTAGAAATATTTGGGGATTTTTAGTTGTTATTTTTACTTTTATTCAAGTTTAATACAGAAGAATGCACAAGTATGGGTACATGGCTATGGGAATTGTTTGTGACCTGAGCGTCAGACCAAGACAGCATTTGTTTCCATGACCCCAGAGACTGCGGTATGCCCTTGACCTTCTGCAGTCTAACGTGAAGTAGTCTTCCTGCCAATGCAAGGGTCTCAGACACTTCTGTCACCTTTGTCCCACCTTCCCCTCATGCTGTCGGTGTGTGGTTCAGTTCTGTCTGCACAGAGCCCCATGGGATGACGAGTGTGCGGTCACCGTTCTGATCTTGGGTCACCCCACAGTCCCCTTCCCTCGTGCTCCTCGCTTGTTCCTGAACCCACTTGTTCCCACTGAGGAACCCTTTCCTACCTGAAGGCCGTGGCTTCTGTTGGTGACAAATTCTCTGTTTTTTGTTTGTCTGAAAAGGACCTCTGTTTTTGTCTCCATTTGGAAGCATATTTTCACTGGGCTTAGAATTCTTTAATGGAAATTCATGTTTTTTGGCGCTTTGACCATACTCCTCCATTTTTGTCTTTTTCTGCACCCGGCTCTCCTGTGTGTGATGCGGTTGTCTGCGTAGTTGTCCTGCCTGTCTTCGCAGAGTTTCCACAGCCCGTGCAGTGAGGTCGTTCCTTAGCCTGGAGAGCCCTTGGCTGCTCTGTCTCCACACCCTCCCCTGCCCCTCGGGGCCTCTGTCACGTGTAGAATGATTGACTCCCGTCACAGAAGGTAGTAGACCCTGACAGATGAGTGACAGACAGCCTTTCCAGGTGCTTTCACTTCTGGCCCACGGAGCTGTTCATCTTGTTCCGGGCCGTCTCTGTATGTGTCTTTACATAACAGGCGTGGCCCCCACTTGCCGAGCACCAGGCCCGGCCACGCTCTGTTGGGGGCGCCGCTCCCACGTTGGCCCGCGTTCCACGTGACCTTCGGGAGGGCACCGTTTCTGCTTACCTCGCTCGGGGGACGGAAGCTCAGACGTGTTGGGCCGTGTGCCAGGGCGGCAGGTCCAGCTGGTGCAGAGCAGGGTTCACACATACCTGAAGGCCCTGGCCCCTCCCGTTGGCCGTGCTGCCCCGCCTTGCGGTGGTCCGTCCAGGCAGCACTGTGCGGGGCTCCCCCGCTGTCGACCTGACGCCCAGGAGTGGATCCCGGGGCTGCTTCACCACACCGGCCCCCTGACCCTGCAGAGCCAGACCTGCTCCCACCCCGCTGCTGGCTCCCCCAGAAGGCCCTGGCCCTTTGGGGAGCATTTCCCCGTTTCTGCTGCTCATCTGAGTTCAGCTTCACTGTCGTCTCGCTGAGGCTCGGGGGCACATCCCGAAGCTCGTGACTTGCCCACAGCCCAGACCAAAGACCAGACGGGGAGGACGCACGAGGCCCTTCCTGCGCCTCTTCGCTCTGGTGCGTGCGTGTCCTTGTCCGGGTGCTCCTGCACGCTTCGTGCTGTCCTGTCCGTTTAGCGGCGGCCGCTCTCTGACTCCTGTCACAGGACGGCCGTTGCTGACGTGGGGGGTGGGGGTGGGGGACAGGGCACGTCTGCACTAGCGTCGTAAGTCGGCAGAGACGGTTTCTTCAGCCCTCGCTCTCCTGAGTCTCTCGAGCTCGCTTTCTCGGTAACTCAGCACGTACTTGTGCCGACTTGGCCGCGATCGTCGGCTTTCCCCTTCTTCCGAGCTCCACGCGTTTCCTCTGCTTGGCTTTCACCCCTGCCTCCTTCAACCTTTGGGGGAACCCGTCCAAGTAGGGGTGTCTCACGCCTCACAGAGGTGGACGTGCGGCCCGGGGGCTCAGCCGGCCGCTGGCCAGTCTGCCCCCCGGTGGGTGCCCGGAGCCCCTTAGCGCCGGAGGCGTGGCGCTGCCCCTCATCTCCACAGCCACCGGCAGCTGGGACGTGGGTGTCCCTCCCGGGGCCCCTGGAGATGGCTTGTGAGGTGTCCATCGATTGTGTCACGTGTGGCTGACTTTAGACCCGGAGGTGCGGTTTTCTCACCAGTGCCGCACGCCTGCGTTAGAGGCGTAACAGGGACCCTGCTTTCCTTCTCTTTCAGACGGACGCGGATATCCGGGCGCTGTTCATGGGTATAGACGACCTGTGTAGGAAGTACTCAAAGGAGACCTTCCGGGTGAGTCCTGCACGGGGTACTTCTTGCTCAGCATAACCCCCGTCAGGCTGCTGTCCTTTCTGAGGGTCACAGCGCACTCGGCCACGCTGTGCTGTCCTCCTCCCGCCCCCCCCCCCACCACGTGTGCCTCACATCTCCCTCCAGGGTTGTGAACCCCTGCTCGCCCCACATCCCACCCCAGAGGTCTGACTTCCCAGACATCACTGGACCATGTGCGGGCCACCGTTCTGTCTGGGAAGCTGCCTGAGAGAAGGGAGCCCCCCAGCCCCCAGCCATCCTGCTTCTCCCCCTTCTGTCAGTGTGTAGCCCCTGCTGGGGGCCACCTCCCACCTACCCTCTGGGGAAAGGGGCCAAGTGGGACAGCAGCCAGGAGCCGCCTCTGGCCAAGACCTTTCCCGTGGGGCAGCGGGCCAAGGGAGAGCGGTCCCACCCTGACCTTCCGGGCCCGTTGCACATCTGGAGGCTGTGGTCCAGCAGCCCCACCAAGACCTCCTCTTCTCTGCAAGGCCCTTTCTAGCTATGACACGGCCTGAAGCCACCACGGTATCATGGCCGTCCCATCTACATTTAGCGCTGAAGGCCTGGGTGGCGCCCCAGGACAACACAGCGGCACAAGGCGGGGGCCAAGCGGGGGCCCGGATGTCTCCATCGCCACGTCCACAGTGGGAGCTTTCATGGGTGGGCCAGGTCCCCTGAGGCCCGGAAACTGTCCACGTTCTCAAGCTTGGCGACCCTTCCACCCATGACGTTCAGAACCACTGGCAGTCCTGTGCCCTGACGTGGTGTTCCCAGACAGCTCTGCAGACACTTACGCTGTCCCAGACCGTGCGCCCGCACAGGGGTGGGGACAGAGGCTGTGGAGGCAGTTGCCAAGTGACATCCTTTTCGCCTCTGGGTCTTCTCTCCCACGGTCACGAGCCCATCTGTCATGGCGCAGAGTGGAGTTTCCAGAGGCCACACGACGGGATGTCGCGTTGTTACCCATGTTAACAAACTGGGTTTATCGTTCTGAAATGACTTGCTATGTGTCATCCGTTTCTCTCAATATCAGTTTCTAGTAGGGTCAGCACTGACAGATAAAACCCACGTAGACGGAACCCTCAGGGTCTCCAGTAAGTTGAAGAACATAAAGCCAGCCCTCGGGCCCTGGCACGTGTGAGACTGTCAGGATCACGGCAGGTCCTTCCACTGAAGCCATCGGGAGGTCACCCTTCCTGATCCAGTTGGGAAGACATAGAAAAATCTTCCTTTTCCTGTCCCCTCCCCGGGACCCCTTCTCATCTCCCCTCCTCTCCCCTGAGCCAGGGCTGGTCCGTGCTGGCCGGACTGTGGACACCGGCTGCTCCTCCGGGAGGGGGACAGAAATGAGCCAGCAGACCTGATCCCCCTGCACAGAGGCTGGGGCTCTACCCGAGGGGACCGCCCCCCAAACGGGCCATCCCACACCTCCTGCCGGTCACGGAACAGCAAAGGAGAGGCGTGCGCGGTCAGCTCCCGGCCTGGCCTTCCTCAGCCCGGCGCGTCACAAACCGAAGAGGCCGTGCCCTCTCCGTCCAGGAGGGCGTTCTCTACTGGATGAGGGCTCACGGCCCTTTTAGATCTTGCCTTGTTGGTGTCGCCTACCCCCATCAAGTCCACAGCAGCTCAGCCTGAGGGGCCCAGCACGCGGTCACTCGGGCCGACGCCCTGGGGACCTGGAGGCTGGCCCCCTGCCTGGCACAGGTGGGCGGCACACAGACGGGGGTCTGCGTGGCCGTGGACTCGCACCAGGCCCCTCGGGGCTCGGCGTTCTGTCCACAAGCCCGTCTCCCAGGCTCAGCCCTGCCTGTGGCCCCGTCCTTGCCGTGTGCTGCCACAGAGGCCTGTGTGCGTGTGCCCTCCCCGTTCTGGTTTGAGAACAGCCTGCCGGAGTGAAGATAGCGTGGGCCCGCCCACAGGCCCTGCCAAGCCCGGTACCTCCGGGGTGAAGGCCCCGCGTGCCAGCGTGCCCGCAGTCCTGCCCCCCGACACGCCACGTGGCCGTCCTGTGGTCGTGCTCAGGCGCTTCTGCTCTCTGTTTCTCAGGGTCTACACCAAGACACGAGGTCTAGGGGTCAGGGTGTGACGTTCTCTTCCTGCCACATGCGTAGAACCCGTTGAGGAATGAGACCAAGCAAACAGACAGGGAGTCTTGTCTTGCTGAAGACGACTGTGGAGGGTGGCTTCAGATCCGCCAAAACCACTCCCCGCTGTGCACAGGCCCCCACCTCACATCTAGACCCGGGCCGGCCCTGCTTCGCCACCCATGCTACCTTGCCCGGAGGTGAGGCCCGCCTCCCGGAAGCCAGACCTGAGGAGCCACGAGGCCTGAGAGCTGTCATCAAGGAGGTTTCTGGGACGGGCCGCTGGTGGCGCCCCCACCGCAGACTAGTGCCTCCGGCAGAGCCCGTGTCTGCCAGCCCTCGTCCTGCGGAGCGACGGCCCCGGCAGTGTGTTCTCTGGACCCCGAGGGTGCGGAACCCTTCGGAAGATGCGGGGGCTTGGCAGAAGAATAGGAGGGTGTCTGTCACTCCTGACTGCGGTCCCGTCTTCTGGAGGTGGCCTGGCCCGCAGACGAGGTCTTTGGACCAGCTGTGGGCTGGCCGGCCCTTCCTGTCCGTGCACTTGGCAGAGTCCCGGGGAAGGACCTACAGGATGCTGACCTTGCGTCCCACCTGGCCCTGCGCCCAGCCCTGCACGAGCCACGCGGAGGCCTTGCCCCGGGGCAGCAGAATTGGGTTTTAGCAGTCACGGCCTAGTGTTTCAAGAGGGAAGGCATCACGTCTGGAGACCTCTCTCCTGGGCTGGCTCTTTTCTCCCCTGAGTAAATCACAGGTCACGGTTTCTGATTTACGCTGGTGCCTTTGGGAGCCCGCTACAGATGTGGACGTCGGGGCTCCCACAAATGGAAGACCAGAGATGGTGCCGGACCAGGTGCGGTGGGCCCTGGGGGACCAGACAGGGTCCGTGGACTCTCACGCTCTCTCCGCTCCGCCGGGCACCATTGCCTGCGTCGGCTTCTCCCTCCCAGGCTGGCCGCGGCCACCTAGCACTTCCGGGGTCACCCCAACCCTGTTGGTGCTGTTGGGTCAGGAGGCCATCCTGTGACCCGGCTGCTGCTCCCAAAGGGGCGGAACACTGTGATTGGCCCGCTGGTCGTGTCCCGTCCCGCGGCCAGGCCCTCAACACCGCTGAAGCCGCTAGCGAGGGAGGCAGCCCGAGCTTCCCGCGGAGCACATGGCCTGGGCTCGCGTTTGCGCCGGGCACACGCCACTGCTCACGCGTCCTGCGCGGCGGTCCTGAGCTCTGCTTCGGGCGCAGGGTGGCAGCCAGCGGAGCCCACGCCTGGGCCAGCGGGCAGGTTGGGGGGACGGGGCGCAGGGAGACGGGCACGCCGGTGCTCGCACTGACGCTTCCTCCCAACCTCTGGCCGCCGGGATAGCGTGCGCGGTGGCGGCCCTGTGCCGGCGCCAGCAGCTGACACGTACTGTCTTCTCAGGTTTCAGAATTTCAAGAAAAGCACAGAAGGAGACTGTTGGCCTTCTATAGAGAAAAGGTAAGTCTGGTGACGTGCCACCTCGTTCCGAGGCTGCGTCTCAAGGCGGCGGGCCGCTGGGCTGGCGCCTGTCCTGCCCACCCTCAACCTGGTGCGGGGATCCCGCCTGTGGACAGCATGTGGCTGCCTGGGGGCCCCAGCTGTGGTGGCCAGGACAGTTTCACCTTGGAATGCCAACACTGACCCGCTGACATCCCCAAACTCGTGAGGCACCTCTCCGTCCACGGCAACTGTGAAGTTGCACTGGCCAGTCCTTGTAAAGGACATTCGAGGGGCCTGTTCGTTTGCCCTGCAAGCAACTCCTCTAGCCCTGTGAGCACTCCCGTCTAGCCCTGTGAGCACTCCTATCTAGCCCTGTGAGCACTCCCCTCTAGCCCTGTGAGCACTCCCCTCT